ATGTATGTGCGGATACAAATTTTCGTCGACGATTTCGGGAACACGGATAAACCGATTTGAATAATTCAAAAAACATTCGATTCGTATTAATAAGGAGACGTGCTGATTAGTTTTTGGCGAAGGCAGGTCTAGCCGTTCCAAAGATACGGGGCAAAAAGTGCCGAAAACGGTAACTCAGTTTTATAGAGAACGGAGCGTCCGATTTGAATAATTCAAAAAACATTTCACTTGTATTGACAAGATGAATAATCGATAAAATTTTCATGAAGGCAGGTCTAACGGTTTCGGAGATCTGATGAAAAAAGTAAAAAAAAATGCCATTGGGCGGTCAAAAATGATCATTAGACATATTGCACATCAAATTATCAGATATTTTATAGAGATTTTAACAATAAGTATAAATTTGTTTACATTCCTATGGGTTCCGTACCAATGTTTACGCGTTAGACGGCGACGCGGCGCTTTGATATTTCGTCTTTTATGCTTAAAGCAGTACGATTGCTTTAAAAAAAAGTTAGATCTTCCAAAATATGTCAAAATAAAATAAAACTTTGTTTTTTTTAAAAACAACAAAAATAAAAAAAAATATTTTTCTAAAAAAATTTTTTTTTTCAAAAAAAGTATTTTTTGTCCAATATATAGTCGTTCTCAAAAATCTATTTTTTCGAAGTAAAATTTTTTCAAAAATCTTAATCGTTTTTAAAAAAAAAAATTTGGTACGGGAAGTTCCAGCAATTTGCCTTAAGGCACGATGCCTTAATTGCCTTAAGACAGAATTCCACTTACAGCTAGTCACTAATAATACTCAATTACGCAACGACTATAAAAGAATTCGACATATAGCGTCAGTAGCTTAATTGATGACGCCAAGCGACGCGACGGCGAAGAGAAAGGGACAAACATATACGTTTAGAGGTCTCAAGCCGTGAGCGTATGAGCGCGACATGTTCGTGAACCGTTCGTTATACCTGCTCGAGTCCTTTGGTTTTGAGACGTCCCGTTGCATATTCATAGGATATTCATAGGATATCGCGATATTAGGAGATTGTGAGGACAAGTGGGACATTCCCTGGCATGTCTTGTGCTGTCTGGGTTAGAACAACATTGACTTCTTATACAACCAAAAAAGTGTTCTAGCGGGTCTTGATTAAAATTTCTCGTACATAGAAAATGAAACCCCCGGTATCACTTTTATTTTTTTCCAAATGTGTCTTAAACTCTCTATAGTTTTTACCCAGTTCTTAACGCAGGGGGCTTTAGTTACAATAAAAAAAAAAGGATTTATAACAAAAAGGATTTTAATTGAAATTATTCGTAACAATATAAATGAATAGCAAAAATATAGTGTTTCATGTCGATTTCAAGAAATTTACAACAAATTCTTTCGATGTTGTTTCAGAGGTTATAAATTTTGCTGATGATAGAATTCTGACAAAAATAATGCAGATTTTACAAAAATAATACTAGTGTTTTATTATTACCCTAATACATATAAAGGTGGCAATGTCACCTCAGCCGCCGCCATTTTTACCGCGGTCTTCGCGTAGGCTTCCGCGGCTGCCGTGATTTTTCCCATCAGGTTTATTAGTGCCCCCGTATTATGTCCATCAGTGGGGCCCCAACTTGCTTTGTAGGACTCGTCGTAATGTAATATAAATGTCCGTATGACCTTTTCCTTGAAAATTTTACGAAGTAGACTTCTCTACGTCATGTCAGTATTCATATTCGACCGGCATGAGTGATAGAATGGTGTCGTCCTTTTCAAATTTGACGTTTAAATTTTGAAAACTAAGGCCGACAGCATTCATATCGTAACCATAGTGTGCATCGGATACGGCACACAGCCCAACCACATGGTTGAGGAAGGATTTCGCCAAAACGACATCTCCGATCTTCGCCAGCCGCGTAAATGCCTCTGATACAATTTTCTTTTCCTAAGAGGATTTTACCTCCCTATCCATTAAAATTATTAGGACTTCATTGCGCGGGATTAATACTCTCGTAGAATTTTTGATCTTTATAAACTGTATTGAATTTAACACTTTCTCAGCTTTATGCCGAAATTTTATATGCTGTGATTGATTAGAAACAGCACATCGAAATAATTTATCTCGTACTGGCAATTTAGTCAATCCATTTACGCTGTCAAATAAACAATCCATAAAAATCAAGAATTCTCCAGTTCCAAATGTTGTAGAACTTCCATTGGCTTCCAAGTAACGGGAGTTCTGTAGACCATCCTCATTGCGTTGGGAAAAAACTTGAGCTGCAAGGCTGAATTTCATCCTCTTCATCTTATTTTAATCGAGATGATGTTCAGTTAATGAAGAACATCTCCGGAAGAATCTGCAATTTTCATCATAGTCATAATAGCTTACAATATCTTACCAGGAAGGCTCATATTCCTTCTCATCTAAGTTTGTTTACTTTAGGTTACATTTTTGCAAAATTATTGCGCATGCATTTTAATAAATGCGGAGGGTCAAACAACGGAATTATTTCGTGCCCATCAATTTCAAAACTCACTTTGTCCCAGTCTCGCTTTTTAGTTTTATAGTCGTGTTCGGTGTTTTTCAATAACATATTAATAGCTTTACAGTTTGCGGACTATTGGTCTCAAACTGTGGCTAAATTTTTAAATCAATACTAAATATTTTTCGAGAGATATCAACAATGAGACTTTTTAAATCTGAACTATTGACTCCACCAACTGAAAAGTACAAAGCAACAGGCTGCTTCCATCGATCTTTAATTTGCTTCAACATAAAAACTCGTGCATGATCTGCAAGTAAAAGCTTTCTGCCATTTGCGTGTTGTTCGAACTCTATTATATGATCAGAATGATCTTTTTCCTGATGGTATGATAAATCAGAAGATAAAGATATCTCGTCGAACATAAATATACAATATTTGCTGCAAATATCTTTTTTGCGAGAGATAGCAGCTTCTAATGATTGGAAAAGCTTATCGTTAATTCCAACATGTAATGGGATATGCGACAGTAAATTTCTTAAGAGTTTGAAGACTCGGCAATATAAATATTTGCCTCCAGAAATAGCAGGCCTTTGGCGACATTTTTATAACATGTCAATGCGAGAATTTTATCTTCAAATGTGAACTTTCTTCCATTCGTTTTTTTTGTATGTTCTCTCAATTGGCATTTTATGACTTGCCCTTAAATTTAACGTTGCTTGCACATTTGATGCTTTGCTGAAATTTGTCCCGTAAATTTGTATTTTGTTTATTAATTTTTCGCATTGTATCAAAATTTTTGATGTGTAATACATCTTATGGATTTGAGGTGTCATGGCATTGCAGCGTTTTTGTTTGACACTCTGCAATAGTTTGTTTTTAAAAATACAAGTAAATAATATTATTGTAATTTTCAGATGCATAAACCTTTGCGAGAAACTGGTGTAAATCTAATTGATGGTTTTAGAAACATTCTTTGTCGCTTAGGGGTGCTCCAATTTTCTTTCGAATTAAATTTATTAAAATAAAAAAGATCACTCAAAAAAAATCTCGCGGTGCATAATTACCTGTGACCGGAATATCTCTGATATAACAACAGCTCCCTTATGTCTTCCTTCATTTCATTAATTTTATAATTGATTTGAATTTGATAATTTGGATAGAGTGTTCATGATACTATCCAACTTACTCTGCGACATATATATTGAGACGAATGAATTTGTTTATTGGAATTTAAAAGATTTTAATAAATAGTTTAAATATATAAATTTCAAATAATGTACTCATCTCCATATTGGGACTCTCCTCTACTTCTCCATGTTCAATTTCACATATCACTTCTGCAATAAATATTAACATGAATGTTTTGTTGAATGATATGATATAAAGATATTAAATAATGTACCTTTCTCTATATTGGGGCTATCCTCTATTTGTTCGTTTTTCTCCTGTTCACTATCAACACAGGATTTGAACTCTGCCCTCGCTTCACATACTTTTATTAGTTTATAATTTGAAGATGTAGCTACACATCTCCCCGTGACAATTTTCGTATTTTACAGTATCAGGAAGGGGCTTACACCCCTTAATTATTTTATGAACCTTCAATGGAGAAGTAGTTTGTTTTCTGGGCATTGAGAGCCCACGAACAAAGTATATGTCCACATTTGTCCTCCTTATCGTAAATTAAGACATCCTATCTAGGCTGCGTGTTTGGCGCGAACAATTTCATTATTTGTCCAAAATTCAACTGAAGATGAGTGAAACAATACTCTTGTGACAATTTTTTAAATGAAAATCTTATCAAGGTAATACTTGCAATTAAAGTATTACCAGGTTGTAGTACTAGTGGTGCACCATGTAGAGAACTCAAAATCCAAAACATATCAATAGAATACTAGAATTGTAGAAGGCAACATCAAGTTATACATCTTGAATTTAAAAAATATAAAGCTTTTGTATTGAAAACATAAGCTGAAAGATATTTACTTTCTGGTAAATATATTAAATTTAAAATTGTTTTTTTTTTTCAAATTTCTTATTTCTATTTGGTAGAGTGTTGCATGCCAATCCACTACATGTCCACGCGTGTTTTGGTAAATCTAGAAAATTGTTAGAATGTGTCATTTTTTGATTATTAACTTCCCGTAGGGCAAGTTATAGTAATCGCAAAAAAATCGAAAATGAAAATTTTTATATATCTTTACGTTTCAGAGGTTTCTGAATATTTTGGCATACCTTAAAAGGAGAACCCGCGCGTTGCTCGTCTCGGATTTTGATGAAACTTGGCACAATGGTAGATTTGATGCCCAAACTGACTGTGGTAAAATATTAGAGGCCTATGAAAAGCGGTTTAACACTAATCATACCAAGACTTAATATATACCTAATTCTACCATAGCGGGTCAATTGACCCGACTCAATGTTTCATTCTTAAATGTATGAAATATGGATGTTAGGAAGGAATAAAAATGAAAATTAAATTTATTATAATTAAACAAAATGTATGTTGAGCATTTCTATTACAAAAGCAAAAATAAAAAAATTTAATTCATAGTTAATCGTATCATAGTACATTTTCCGCAAACATATTTTTTACATTTAGAGAAAATTTTGTTGGTTTTATTTTCTTTACAGCATCCTATTTGACATATCATACATTTATAATAATCTGTAGTAGACTTAGGCAACGATATTTTCGTATTTTTTTCTTGTTTTGGTTGTTCACGGACTTCTCGAAAATCGGCGCCAAGTTCTTCTGCTAGCTTGAGTAAAAAATCTTGTCGCGAGATACTTTTTCCTGTCATTTGCTTGTACGAAATCCAGGCATTTATGCCAGCTAAATCAAGGATATTGAAAAAAACTTGGAGAGGCCATCTGCAAGACTTGGATTTTGTACTAAATTTCCTCACCATTTGATCGGTCATGTCTACACTAAATTTGGTTTTATTGTAATATGAAACAGTTTCAGGTAAACGTTTATCATTGTTTTTTTATCGTCGGTATCTGTTGAATCAAACTCATTTTTATTTTCAACCAACATATCTTCATTTTCAGAAAATTCATCTTCACTAATTTCTGAAAACTCTTTGCCAATATTATTTATATATTCTAAGAACTTGTAATGTCTTGTTTGCTTCGACATTTTTCTGGGTAAAAAATAACCTGTATTACTATAGCTATCATAATAAAATATAAGCTAGGTACTATCCAAGACTTTCAATTTCTGCCACCTTTTCTAACAATAAAAAGCTATTTTCAGTCTAAAATTTGATATTTTCTTGAAATTATTCTGAGCTATTTTCGTTTACGCAACAGTGTTTAGAAGAATGTGAAACTTACTGACTTCAAATATGACTCGACAATCTTATAAACCAAAAAATTCTCTCCGGGTCAAATGACCCATTGTGGTAGATATCGGTATACAAGAAGGATAACTCAGAATAAACAAAACAAAACAAGAAAAAAAAATTGTTTATAACTGTACTTTAATTACTTAAAAAAAGTCATCAAGTCAAATGTGCAAACGCAATGAAATTATACGTGCAATTTCAATGCAAAAGTTCAAAATGGGTCATTTGACCCGTTATGGTATGTTTAGTGTTAATTATAAAAATTAATTAAAGTTTGCATTGTAGCAGCGCGCGGCATGCATAGCTTGCGATGTTTTTCCTTATCAACAGCAGATTGGCCGAGTGGCTATCGTCGTGGAATTCTAATTTTTGCTCCGGGGTTCAATTCCCGATTCAGATATATTTTTTTTTATTTGATATTTATAATTTCACGTGTAAATAATATCAAAATTTATTTGATTTTTCAATTAATTTTATATTTTTCGCTAAATATTCTATAATAAAGTCCTGCGTAATACCGGTAAATTTTTATTTTGATATTACTTATGAAACTTACGATCATATAAATGTTAAGTGATTCCTGAAACCTTATAATTTTGTATTAATATCAGCAATAATACGGAAGAAGAGTTATAATTTATTTCCAATTAAAAACTATGTTCAAATTTACTATTATGAGGATGATACTTTGTACGTTTGACCAGCCCAAGAATCTAATATTAATTTAAAAAATCCTTTTCGACATATGACTTGAAAACATTAATAAAATTTATTCACTGCAGCACAATCTCCACGATCCCCACAATTGTAAATTTGAACATAGTTTTTACATGGAAATAAATTATATCTCTTCTTCCGTATTATTGCTGATATTAATACAAAATTATAAGGTTTGTGTGTAAATGTGTGTGTGTGTGTGCGTAGTATGTATGTGTGTGCGGATACAAATTTTCGTCGACGATTTCGGGAACACGGATCAACCGATTTGAATAATTCAAAAAACATTCGATTCGTATTGATAAGGAGACGTGCTGATTAGTTTTTGGCGAAGGCAGATCTAGCCGTTCCAAAGATACGGGGCAAAAAGTGCCGAAAACGGTAACTCAGTTTTTAAGAGAACGGAGCGTCCGATTTGAATAATTCAAAAAACATTTTACTTGTATTGACAAGATGAAGAACTGATCAAATTTTCATGAAGGCAGGTCTAGCGGTTTCGGAGATCTAACGAAAAAAGTAAAAAAAATGTCATTCGGCGGTTAAAAATGATCATTAGACATATGCACATCAAATTATCAGATATTTTATAGAGATTTTAACAATAAGTATATTTTTTTTACATTTTTATGGGTTCCGTACCAATGCTTATGCGTTAGACGGCGGCGCGGCACTCGCGCGCGTTGACATTTCGTCTCTATGCAGTTCAAGCAGTACGATTGCTTTGAAAACTAGCTGTAAGTGGAATTCTGTCTTATGGCAATTAAGGCATCGTGCCTTAAGGCAAATTGCTGGAACTTCCCGTGCCAAAAATTATTATTTTTTTAAAAACGATTAACATTTTTGAAAAAATTTTACTTCGAAAAAATAAGATTTTTTAGAAATTTTAAATTGGACAAAAAATTACTTTTTTTTGAAAAAAAAATTTTTTTTTAAAAAAAATTTTTAAACAATTTTTTTTATAAAAATTTTTTTTTGGAAAAAATGTTATCTTTATTTTGATATATTTTGGAAGATCTGAACTTTTTTTCAAAGCAATCATAATGCTTTAACTGCATAGAGACAAAATATAAAGCGCGTAAGCGCCGCGTCGCTGTCTAACGGAAAAACAATGGTACGGAACCCATAGGAATGTAAACAAAACTTATACTTATTGTTAAAATCTCAATAAAATATCTGATAATTTGATATGCATATGTCTAATGTCTAATGATTATTGTTGACCGCCAAATGTTATTTTTTTTTAGTTTTTTTTACTAGATCTCCGAAACCGCTAGACCTATCTACATGAAAATTTGATCAAATCTTCATCTTGTTAATACAAGTAAAATGTTTTTTGAACTATACAAATCGGACGCTCCGTTCTCTTAAAAACTGAGTTACCGTTTTTGGCCCTTTTTGCCCCATA